GTAGTGACAAATTGGAGTTGTCTCACCTCTGTTGGCCCTTATGTGCGGTGGACCTCAGCTAGTTACTATGACTTTCCTTAGTCTTTAAGTCATATAGGGCGGCTTTGCATGGTAGTCTGCGCAATGCTCGGTGTGTGCATTCTGCGCAATGCTCGGTGTGTGCATTCTGCGCAATGGTTCATGGGCCTTTTCTAGGCTTTGAACCTTATAGGCCTATATGTTATCCAGATCATTAGCCCTCCAGCTCGCAGCTTGTGCTTACTAGCTTGAGGTGTGAGATGCTAAAAATATATTCTCTGACTTCTTTGCGTGATGCCCTGTTATTTCCCTCTATGTACTGTGTATTTCATCCCGCTTTGATTAATTCTTCAAACATATGTATCATCATTAGCCTACCGCTTAAAAACGGTTGATATGATCTTAACTGTCAGAGACATTAAATGCAACCTCAATTATGTGGGGGTTATGGTTGCCAATGTGGGATGATTTAAGTTTTAATCCTTTTATCTTCTGCACATGTGCCCCACAATTACCGTTTTCACCGACGCTTTTACACAAATATCCCTCAATGATATTTTGTATTTGTACTGCTCTTTATTCGTGGAGGGAAACCGTTTTAGCAAGCGAGAAACCTCCTCTGAACTTCCACTAAATACCAATCTTCATCTTCCTTACTTCAAATCTCCTCCATGCTTTGGCATTCTTTCAAGAGGCACAATATAAATTCCAAGTATGTACATTCAGTTGTTGATTTGTAAAGGAGTGGGATTCGAAATTTATCATTCCCCACAGACGGTGTCAATGATCCGACTAGTCCAAAACAGGATGGGCCAAACCACACACGATTGAAGGTTAAAGACTATGGGCCTTAGAACTATAGAAAGTTAGCTTAAATCTATGGAGGAATGAGCTTCTCCTTGTATTGGCAATGTTGTGATTCTGGCGCAATTGAAGTGACTGGGGGGAGGGGGTACCTGCAAAGACACTCTGACGCTTAAGTCAGTATCAATGTTAGGTATATGTGGTAGTTAATTGGAATAACATGATCGTACCTGAGTTTACTCCCTCTGTATTTATAGTAAGCTTTGTGCTGCCCTTTGTAGGCGGCATTCCTTCTTATTGGTTGTTGTGGGTTGCTGTCCTTCTGTCACAGTTGGTACCTTTCTTGCTATTTCCTTAATGAACAAGTCTAAACAATAGCCTATCTTCTTAGAGTAGTGGCAAGCTAGAGCTGTCTCACCTCTGTTGGCCTTTATGCACGGTGGACCTCAGCTAGTTACTATGACTTTCCTTAGTCTTTAAGTCATATAGGGCGGCTTTACATGGTAGTCTGCGCAATACTCGGTGTGTGCATTCTGTGCAATGGGAGCATTACGCCTTCATGGGCCCTTTTTGGGCTTTTAACCTTATGAGACTATATGTTATTTAGATCATGTTATAAAAAATTTTATTTGAAATGTTGCAAATAATGTGAGGACAAAATTAGGTTGAAGAGAACTGCTAATAAAATATTGTAGTTATAAAGGACCAATTCAACGCAAAAGCTTAAGCTATTAAGTGAAGGCCATCAATGGTTTATATACTTCTCTAACACACCGCCTCACACAAGAGTCCACTGGGTATGAATGGTGGATAATGTACAGGCCCACCTACAGAGAAAGTGGGGGGTGATGAGGATCGAAACCCGACACGAGGCTCTGATATCATGTAAAGAACCAATTCAAACCAAAAGCTTAAGGCTTAAGCTATTAAGTGAAGTTCCATGGTTTATATACTTCTCTAACAGTAATATCAATATCGATGACTCTCGGTGCTCACATTTAGTTAAGACTTTTCCTATTCATTCTCTAAAATTTAGGACTTTACATGAATGTTATTGCAGTGGAAGCCATGGACTTGCCATTCTTAAATGCCTATATGGATTCATTGGGTTTGCCAAATTTTCAGCAAGGATGCAACTTTGCAGCAGCAGGTTCAACTATACTTCCAGCCACTGCAACATCCTTCAGCCCATTTAGCTTTGGGGTGCAGGTATCTCAGTTTCTGCGATTCAAAGCTCGGGTTCTTGAACTGCTTGCAGTTGCAAGTATATGATAAATTAATCAAATCTCTTCTCATTACTTCAGTGTCAAAATCAAGTTTGTTGTTTTCTTATTCATTGGTGTGAAGGAAAATTATCACAGTAAAATTTCAGGCAAGAAGTTTGATAAATACGCTCCAAGTGAAGATTATTTCGAGAAGGGGTTATACATGTTTGACATAGGCCAGAACGATCTTGATCATGCATTTTATTCAAAAAAATTGGACCAAATACTTTCCTCAATTCCAACAATTCTATTGGAATTGGAATCTGGAATAAAGGTAGGTGACATTATGTCTAACAAAATAACAATGAATTGGTACAATTTTTATTCGAAATATTTTATACTAAAATTTCTTGAATTCCAAACTATAAGAGCAGTTTTACTGAAATTAACATAAACTCTCTGATTTGTGTGCTAGAAACTGTATGACCACGGGGCTAGATATTTCTGGATATATAACACAGGTCCTCTCGGATGCTTGGCTCAGGTTGTTGCCAAATTTGGCACTGATCCATCGAAGCTTGATGAATTAGGATGTGTTAGTTCACAAAACCAAGCAGCTAAAACCTTTAATCTACAGCTTCAAGCTTTCTGTAGTAAATTGCAGGGCCAGTATCCAGATGTAAATGTTACGTATGTTGACATCTTTACCATAAAATCAGACCTCATTGCAAACTATTCTAAATATGGTGAGTCTAACTTGCAAAAACTCATTTTTGCCTCATCTTAATTCCCCTTATTTTATTGATTTTGCCTCATTTTTTTTTGGATAATTGCTATTTCCAAGAGTTTTAGATGTTAATTTCCGTAGATTTTGAATTCCTCATATCATATACCTTTGGCAATTGGCATCACCTGTCCTGCAGGTTATGTTCTGTTTTATTTGTTCCTCTCATTACAGTCCATTCATCACCCATCACCTTGACATGATTTGACAATATAAAAGAACGACTTCTTCCTTTATTCATCTTTCTAGCTTTGTTTTCGGTGGAGCCTCCTTTCCCTTCTGTCCTGTAATCAAATCATTTTGATTGCAGCAAAAATTTCCAGTTGTCCTATACATTTACAATCATTGAAATGATAGAAGTGTGTCCAAGTCAGTGGTGAATGTAGGGATCAGGGTTAGCCAAAATAAAGTTAATTTCTTTGTATTTTATTTTTGGGAAGAATACTGTAACAACCAATTAGGGTTACTACCAATGTTACTACTAATCAATTTCACCGTTAGATCGATTTGTTGATCCAACGGTTATATTTATTTTTATCTTTATATGATCATGATTGCTCATATTTAATACTTTATGTTTATTTCCACCTTTGTATGAGAAATCATAACCATATAAAGGGCCGACCCAGTTCAAATACCCACTTCGTGAGTGTCTGGGGAAGGGAATACTCTAGGCATAACCATATAAAGATGGAAATAAATATAACCGTTGGATCAACAAATCGATCTAACGGTGAAATTGATTAGTAGTGGTAATCCTAATTAGTTGTTACAATATCCTTCCCCAAAACTAAAATACCCTGATCCCTACATTTACCACTAACTTGGACACACTTCTATCATTTCAATGATTGTAAATGTGTATAGGACAACTGGAAATTTTTGCTGCAATCAAAATGATTTGATTACAGGACACAAGGGAAAGGAGGCTCCACTTTTAAATTTGTCTGATTATTTGTTTGCAGGGTTTGAACAACCTATTATGACCTGTTGTGGATATGGAGGTCCACCATTGAACTATGACAGCCGAGTTTCTTGTGGACTAACAAAGATCTTGAATGGGACAAAAATTACAGCGAAAGATTGCAATGACAGCACTGTGTATGTAAACTGGGACGGGATTCATTAGACTGAGGCTGCAAATCAATATCTATCACAAATTCTCACCGGAAATTACTCCCACACTCCTCTCTGAGACAAAATGCCCCTCCTTCTCTAGCTCAAGTGCTAAATCCCAATCTGTTTATTTTTACAATAATTTGATTCTTTCTGTGCTGGTGTAGTGAAAGCAATAGCTGATTTTAACCTTGAATTACAGTCAAGCTCCTACAAACGAATATGATCTAAAGATTGGATAAATTGACTTTGGGACATGGGCAGTGTAATTATGTTAAAGGATTTGTAATCTGATACGTGATCAGCACGCTTTACCATTAGTTAGACTTCTTTTTCAAAGGGAGGGTAATCAATCAATAAAAGACTGCACTTGTGATTTCCACCAAATACATCCTAGGAGAGGGGCAAGGAGCTTTAATTATGACTAAGTCCCGACTCGGGATTATTCTCATAACCAACTCAAAGAGTTAACGCTTGTAAGGATATTCAAGGGGTTGACTCACCTAAAGTAGTAATTAGAGTCGGTATAAAAAAAAAAAAGAAGACTACATTGGTTACACGGTTCATTGCATGGGGTATACGATGTCCAAGTAAACAATGTTAAGAGGGCTTTTAGGTATATACATCAATGCAATGTACAAAGCTATAACCTGGAACCCCCCTCCTCTGTTAGATTTATTGATACAGGAAGAGATACTTTGGTAAGAGGAAGACTGGAAGGGAGGCAGGGAACTACAACTCCTTCTATCTGACTTTAAGAATGCTAACTCAACCCTAAAGGTGAAATGTGTAATATATAAAAAGAATTATTAAGGGTTGTAAGTAGTTTTAAGTAACATTTACCAAGCTGTAGAATGTGTAGTTGTTCTTGATGTTTATAAATTCAGTTGGAAATTGTTTAAGTACTGCATTTTGTATAGCATCTTTTCTTATTCCATTTGCAAAACTGCTTTTATTTTCTTCTACTTCGTTTGTTTTATCAAAGTTTTATGCTTGGTTAGAGTTGCATGACACAGAACGGGTTACAACATAACCCTTGTCCTGACAAATGAAATAAATGTGTGCAGAGAGAGTACATTAAAAAAACTGGCATTTAAAAATAGTCCAACGTACATACTTTGGAATTGCATTTACAAGCCAAAACTCTTTATCTTATTCTCCAGTTTTCTCAAACACTCAATTGTATCATGAGTATGGTTACAACTGCACATTATACATCTGAATTTAAAGAGTGAGAATTTGGAAGACGGATCTAATTATATAACCATTTTCTTACTTTTTGGACACATAAGCATAGTATTGTGCCATAGGAACAACGAATGCAATGACCAACAAACCTCCAACTACAAGAGAGAATTGTCCACGTTTCTCTTCTGTCTCTTCCTTGGTTTTGAAGTTAGACTCACGTTTATTGTCTTTAAATTTGGGTCCACCAGGATCTGGAAGCCCATCAATGGCAGCAACTAGCCGTTTAGCAGTGCTAACAATAGCTTCATTGTACTTCTCATCCGTAGCCAATACTGCATATAAAAAACAGACATTGGTAGTTTTTTACTCCTTAAAAAAATAAATGATTACGGCTGCACCTTATTGATTAAAACTTCAGAATATTGACAAGTTTTATAAATAATACAAACTTGCAGACTATCAGTAGTATCCTTGCATTCAAACTAGTAAAAGTATATGTAAGTGGATGATAACTTAATACCGGAATACTATGGGTGTTCATCAACCGATCCAAACCGTAAAAACCGAAGCGAAAAATCGATAACCGAATAAACCGAAAACCGACAAAAAGCCGCAAATTTTAATTGGATTGGATCGGTTTTCGGATGGATTGATGAAAACCGATCCAATATATTAATTTTCCTCTACCTACTTGGTCCTTTCCTCAATCATAGCCCAAAAATTTCTAAACCCAAGACCCATTAACTCATCAACTAATCCCAAGAAAAAATCTAGTCACATGTCATCAACAAAATTTAATCCGTGTAGAACTTCATATCTCATTGCAAAAAAAAAAAAAAAATAACTATAGTATCGTCTACTGATGTATTTGTATTTCAATTTTTTTTTGTTTCCAAAACCAATATATACAAAAGATTTTATGTGCACAATAATCATGAAACTAATTTTAGGATATTCAAAAACCGAAAACCGATCGAATCCAAACAGAAAAAAATTGGATTGGATCGGATCGGATCTGAAAAAAAATTCAAACCGAATGGATGATTACATGATCAATCCGAAGAGATTGGATCAGATGAGTTTTGCTTCCAAAACCGATCCAATCCAGACCGCGAACACCCCTCATTTTTGGCCTAATTCTTCTTCTGATGATCGATTCAACCTCTGATCAAAAAGAGAAATCTTGGTTCTATTTTATCTCTTCAACAAGCTTAGTAATGAGCATAGTGGCCCTATTGTTCCGATGGAGAGAAGAACCTATGATTAGCTTTTCGGGAAATTTCCAAACGAACAATTTCAACGAAATCTTTCAATTTCTTATTGTACTATGTTCAACTCTGTATTCCTCTATCCGTAGAGTACATTGAATGTACAGAAATGGCTATAACAGAGTTTATGTTATTTGTATTAACAGCTACTCTAGGAGGAATGTTTATACAGACTATCCGAAGTGTCCATAATATGTGTGAACGTTTTTAGATCTAGAAACACCCCTGTAGTTAACTTCAGAACTCCAAAAAAGAGGTCTTGTACTGATAGAAAGGTTAACTTGGTGGGGGAATGAATTGGAAATTTGAGCTTCTCCAATGTATATCAAGAAGAATAAGGATTTCTAAGCCAGAAACCTGTTGCCTTAGCTTAATTAAACCCCTATGAGTCACATATAGTTAGCTTCTATCAAAGGTAAGTTATAAACTATGTTGATAATGCGGCTCAACTGATAGGATTGAAATACACTGACATAAAAATTCTATTGTAACGCTAAAGCTTGTGGCATGACATGACTATCAAATAGGGACTAGGAAGTACCTGGAAGGTTCTCTGAGACAGTGGCATCAAGGATATTTTCTCCTACAGCTTGGACAAAAGCTGGTCCACCAGTAACTGCTCCTTCTTTCTGACTCGTGACAAGAACCACAATACCCTTGTTGTTACCATCTTCTACAGAAGGATACCAACGCTCCAAAACTTGGTCAGCATACTCAAAAGCATCAGCTTTGCTCTGCAGCCATATTATACAATCAAAATATTTCATGCTCCATTAGTTGCATTGAAAGGAACACGAAAAAGGGTACTCAAGCCTAGTGATTTTTTCAATGTTAGAAAAACAGCACATTTTAAAACAGGAATTTGTCTATTCCCTCACATTCTTCTAACTTCAAACCAATAGCATATGAAAGCAATAGCGTTGGCATTTAAAAACAGTTTAATTAACAATATATGTAGTTGTGTAACTAACCGTGAGTTTTCTAACTGTAATGAAGTTGATGTGAAAGTTCTTCCTAAATTCCAAATCCGACAATAACTGCTTCAAATTAGACCTTGTCACTCTACTAAGCACTCCAGCATCGTCAACCACATAAGATTCTTTGGGTGGACCCTCGTTAAGTACATCAAACTCAGATGCCAGTGCATTGCCACTGTGCAAGATTGGGCTAAAGTTGAGTGCCAAGGAGATAGCCAAAGCAGCTAGGCCCTGTTGAGCATGATCCAACCAGCTTGTGCATGAAGGCAAGGATGGTTTAAGAGATAAAGTTTGGTTCTTTCTGAGACCGGCAACAATGGGTTTAGAGCAAAAGAGAGAATTTGACTTGGGTTGTAGAGAGGGAGACAAGAGGATTTTTGAAGGTGAGGCTTTGATGTTGAAGAGTGGAGAGAGAGAGTGAGGAGGAAAAATGGTTCCCATGAGGAAGAGTAGCAAGGATTCAAATGCTGAAGGGTTCTTCTTCTCTCCCACATCATTCTCTGTCCTTTGATTAAAGTTCAGATTTTGAGTGGTCTTGATTGGTTGGCTGTGTCTGAAAGTGGATAACGTATATTAGCCATGTAGGTCTTTTAGCCCACAGCACAAGAAATTCTCAATTTTCAGCTATTTATTCATAAATAAATAAAGAGGATAAATGATAAATCTATCTATCAATTTCATATATTATTTTCCATGATTCATAAATAAAATTGGAGAATCTTATATTTGTAAACTTTTTGTTTACAGAATCTTACAAACTACATTAAGTATGATTGGTCATACTCTTCATTAAAGAATATATGATCGATCATACTTAGTATAATTTTATAAAAAAAATTTATAAACAAATCATTCTTCAATAAAATTTACATAGCTATTAGTAGGGAGTTAAGTAGTAAAAAGGAATACGACTCGGTTCGATCTTTATATGTTATTTTTGATAGGAGTTTAAATATCTCCATTTTTTACATGTATTGCATCATCTCATATTAGTTCCATAACGGGTTCAAATAAGCAAAACTTATAATAATATCGGAGGAGCTAACTCCTATCAAATAGGTAATTAGCGTCGAGTAATTTCAAAATAAATAAATAAATAAAATTTACTTGTTGAAATGACTTCAATTGCCCTTCATTTTGCTGAATTCCAAAAACTATTTATTTTACCTGAAATGAAAGCCATTCTTGTTAAAAAAAAGGGGGTCATGATAATTGTATCTATGCTCTTTCTTTCATGGCCATTCTTTTCTCCACTTTTCCCACTCTTGGCATCACCAATACCAAATCCTTGCCTTTCAACTCAAAACCCATAATTTGTGGGACCAACCTCACTTCCAAGAGGAACCTCGTTCTACAAACTTCATTGCTCTGCGTTAGCATTAGCATTGGCCTAACTCCTCAAGTCCCAGTTGCGCAGTCTTCACCTCAAGTGTTGCCGTCCAAACCGCTTCTTTCTAGCATTGAAAATACGAAATCTTGGTTTCAGTTCTATGGCGATGGGTTTGCCATTCGAGTCCCACCAGATTTTCAGGATATCACGGAACCTGAGGTACATTCATTGCTAAGCTAATGAAGAAACTTTACTTACTATATTCTGTATTGGGTAGTTAAAATTTATAATATCTCTTTCAATCTTGATAATTCAAGTTCAAGTTGTAGCATTTCAATAAGCAGAAGGACTGTTAGTTCTCTTATTTTTTTTTATTTTTTTTTTGGGTCAGATATTTTATCCGTTCAAGTTTGTAAATTGTAATTTAGAAATTTACAATTTAAACATAATCAGTGAAAAGTGTAGATAGCAACTTGAAGGGTCTATGATAGCATTAAAAAGTTATGATATTTTCAGTTGTGTGAGCTTGTCATCCATTTGCTTTGTAGGATTTTAATGCTGGACTGTCTCTTTATGGAGATAAGGCAAAGCCAAAGACTTTTGCAGCACGGTTTGCATCTTCTGATGGGTATTTTTATTATCAAACTCCTAACTCCCTATTTCTTTGCTATGCAATTGTACATGTTTAGAGGGAAACATGAGCATTTTGACTGTGAATGAAACAGATCTGAGGTTCTGAGTGTTGTTACTCGGTCAACCAATCAACTTAAAATCACCTTCTTGGAGGTAATCACACAGTCAAGGACATTTTGTTTTTTATATATATTCCCTGTCCATTATATGTCTGTCAGGCATAAATTTATTTACTTATTTTTAGTAACTTCAGGCATAAAATTTTCACCATGGTTGAGTCATGAGTGTTTAATAACTGATAAGCAAGTCGATGCAATGTGTCTGCATTAGCTTGGCCTCTACACTTTGTATTGATTCCTTTCTGTCTTTCTCACTTGTTCTTCATTTGGTTCCTTTCTAGCTTAATATTGAGCAACCATTAGGCTCCTAATTAGGGGCAGGTTATATTTACAAACTTTTTTGTTTACAAACTACACTATCTTCTTCCGGGAAAACACTGGTTGTACTATGTTCTCCCGGGAGAAGATAGTGTAATTTGTAAAAAATTTCTAAAAAAGTTTGTAAACGGATCCTTCCCCTCCTAATTATTGCAAGCTTTTCCTTTTACTGGTTTTCAAGGATTTGGACTAGGATTATGAACTTTTTGTTCCTGGTGATAAATTTCTCACTTATCTAAAGTAAAGGATGAGAAATCCTTATAATTTGTGACAACTGAGAAGAACATTGTATTTAATCAATACTGCTTCACCTCTACATGATTTAAACTTTCGGAAGCTCTCATAATGTCTTCTCTAAGTAGAACATGTGTACTATCAGCCATCAGGTTTTTGTGCCTACATCATAACAAGTAACTGTAATTGAGACCAGATCTAGCCCTATTCTTGATTGTTGATGTAAACTCCTCCAGGAACTTACATACTCTTCACTGATTAGAGCAGGCACAGGATGTAACTGATTTAGGGTCCTTGAAGGAAGGAGCAAAAATATTTGTTCCAGGTGCAGTTTTAGTTAAACTTCTGTATGTTTTTGTAGGTTCTGAAAGAAGTTAATTCTGTTCTAATTTTATCTTTAGGGATTAGTGTTTCTCATGTAGGGATAATTTTATCTCCTATATACACATAAAAATGTGTGGGGCTCATATTTCCTTTTTCTCTCTCTTCTCTTCACATAGATCCACATGGGCCCTACATACTTTTATATATGTGTAGGAGATTTATCTCCTATAATAAGAGAAACATTAATCCCTTACCTTTTATGGTATATATTGTTATTTCCCAATATTTGGTTGCTTAAATGATATGATATACTTGGTTGTTCTTTCTGTTTACTCCTAGTTCTTGGTTTTGGTATCTCATTCTGCCCACAATATACATGCAGGAGGGGCAACAATTTACTCTGCACGATCAATAAAAATAAAGGAAGAAGAAGGTTTTAGGTAAGTTCATTTTCAACTGACTGGAATATTGGCCAAAGGTTCTCCTTTTTGAGGACAAAACACAAAAAATAGTTTTTTTTTTTTTTCTTTAAAAGAAAAAGGATATCTATGAAAAGAAGGGCAATAAACAGCATTTAGGGATATACTTTTTCTAGATGCTTGATTGTATATGCGAAATTTTAGTCAAGAAACTCTGCATGGGAATCTTTAGCATTTTTCATGTCTTCTGGAAGCAACCTTACATGCCACATTGAGTTTTACTATTGTATCAAATTCCAATGCTGTACCGGCTTTTCTAATTTCAGGACTTACTATTTCTATGAATTTGGTAAATATGAACAGCACATAGCATTGGTGGCAGCTGTCAGCGGTGGAAAGGTTTGTTACTATATGCATTTTACTGATATGACTAACCCGTTCAAGTCAACTTGGGTATGCAAGCCAGGAATACATCATAGGTCATCAACTTTTGCTAGTTGGCCAAGTACCAATAGAGCAAATTCTCATTATTTCTGACTTGATACTTGCCAATTATTTCTATATTTTTACCAACATAAATTACAGAGAAGTTAAATATGTGGTCCTTATATTTTATAGGCAATTATAGCTGGAGCAACTGCACCACAGTCCAAGTGGGACAGTGATGGTGTAAAACTTCGTTCTGCTGCTATATCATTGACAATTCTGTAGTCATGTGCTGAAATATTTTAACTGGGTACGTTTACTCATAATTCCAATGCTTCAGTGATATGGTTCTCCATATTTTTTTATAGACTAACATGGTTAGCTATTTTAAGTCAAGATTTTATATATTATAGAGTATTGATTGTTTTGTTTGTAGTGATCAGATTATATATTTTTTAGTGTGTTACTACGGGAATTTTATATTACATTCAAAATGTTTCTTTAGTGCAAAGACAGGAGGACATTTGTTGGCCTGCTTCATACTCTAAATTTGAGTTGGAAGCTGAATCCTGGGGTATAGCAATGTCTAATCCAGCTTATGGGAGGTTGAGAATGTTGTAGTATTATATAGAAAATCACAACTGGTTATGTAGGCCATTGATTTGATAGACAGTTAATCATTCTACGGAAGAACAATGTCTTCTGTACTACTTTTAATTGCTTCTGTAGTATTAATCTTTCTTGTTTTTCCATATTGATTTCTTTCTTTATGATTTGTGGCAGTTCCCTACTTGTAACCTGCATGGTTACAGTAATCTTGACACACGGCTCATCGCGTGCTCAGCAGCTAGTGAAAGCTGAAAAGCAGTTAATAATGAGTTGGACTTTAAATCAATATTCTGTTGAATGTCGTGAATCTCCTGTTTAAATATTATTGATAATTTTTGGTCTAAAGTATTGAAATTTGATTGGATAAAATTCATTTATTCTTTTTGAGTTACTGAGTTATGATTCTCACGTATTGGCCTTCAAATGAGAAGTGCTCTATGTTATTTCTCATCTATGATGCACGGACACGGACACGACACGTCGACACGTTAATTTTAAAAAATGACACGTTGGGACACGTTTTGATATTAAATATAATTTTTAATATATATAATATAATTTATATTTAATATATATAAGAGTCCATAATAAGTCATATAACCAATTAAATATTTAAATTTCATAACATAAATATAAATATAAATAATTTTTCGTATTTTGTTAATTTTTCATGTCAAATTTCATAAGAGAAAAAATTAATTTACAAATTATTTCTTTTATATTTAGTTAACAAAATAAAATTAAGATTTAAAAAAAAAAAAAAAAAAAAACGTGTCCTAGCGTGTCCCAGAGTTGACCGTGTCGAAAAAACGTGTCAGAGAGTTGACCACATGTCTCCAAATGTTGATCGCATGTCGGATGCGTGTTCGTGAAAAGTAACGTGTGCTTTGGAGTTTCCCATTACCAATTCTGTATCATAAGCCATAACTTTTACCCTCCCTCTCTGTATCAAGCACGGCACTCATATGAAAGTGTGTGAGTTTTTCTAGAGATGGCAAAGAACATTGGACAACAATATGTACAGAATACTCAATAGAGAATAATTAACTAACCTGACTAAAATAATATTAATGAACACAGGGCTTAGTCAATGGACTACTTTTTAAAGATGGAATAGTTGTTGGTTACTCCGCATGAAAGATTATTTTTTAAGCTACCCCATCTCTTATTTAGCATAATTGCAGCACAAAATAAAAGTAAGCATCTGTATAATGAGAGTAAAGTTGCTTAATCCTTCCAAGATTACGATAATGGACACAAAGCAGGAATAACTAGCACGAAATTACAGATTTATGGTCTTTGAGTACCGTCATAAATTATCCTTTTGCATCACATCTTGGCATAAGGTAAAAGAGCTTGCTTAGCAATATCATTCACTTGTATGAGTGACCATTAACGTTAATTAAGAAAAGGAAATACAAACACCAAGTTTGTTTTGACCAGTCTGAATGTTAGGTTCTCTCAATATTGAGAAATAATTCAAGAAAAAAAAAAAAAAGACTTGCAGTTTGTTGTCACACTCAACTTGTCAATATCTGCTATCTCCATGTGGTAAGTGGCTATATAGCACGGACACGCAAACAAATTTGAAAGATGAGTGTCGACACGTTTCAACACACGTTTGACACGCGGTCAATTTTTTCTGACACGTAATACTCTAACATGTTTTTTTTTAAGGTCTAAATTTTATTTTATTAACTAAACATAAAAAAATAATATATAAATCAATTTTTTTCTGTTATGAAATTTGATATAAAAAACTAACAAGGTATAAAAAATTATTTTTATTTTTATTTATATTATAAAATTTAAATATTTTATTAGTTATATGACTTATTATGGGTTGTTATATGTATTAAATATAAATTATATTATATATATTAAAAATATTATTTAATATGAAAACGTGTCGTAACACGTTGAAATATGACATTTTTTAGAATTAACTTGTCGTCGTGTCGTGTCGTATCCATTTTCAGTGTTGGTGAGTGGTGACATAACATATATCAAAATTCTTAAACGTATTTGATAGTTATGTTGCTCACTCCAACTACCTTTTCTACCTGAAAAACAACTTGTTTCCTTGCTTATGTAAACAACACCATGAGAAAGGACAGGTACTCAACTTGAATGCCCAAAATGGCTTTGTTACAGTCACCCCTCCATTTTTCAAATTCATTTCTCAGCACAAGCACCATTGTCGCACTCTGCGTATTCTTTTCCCTCCTCTGTGCTTGCATCATCATTGGCCATCTTCTGGAAAAGAACCGGTGGGCCAATGAATCCATCACTGCCCTTCTTCTGGTACAGACTCAACTCGTTCTTCTTATCTCCATGTATAATTCGGTGACTTTATATCTTAATGTATTATTATATTATTGTAAAATTTGCTTGGCTTGGTTAAATATATATAGGGGTTGTGTTCTGGAGTGGTGGTGTTGCTGGTGACCAAGTTCCATAGTACCAAGATTCTAATATTCAGTGAAGACTTGTTCTTCCTTTACTTGCTTCCACCAATCATTTTCAATGCCGGGTAAGCTTGGTTATCATCTTTCTCTATATTTCTTTCTTTTATTTCTGTATTAATTTTGATGTTTGATTTGTTTTTTGTATAATAATTTCAAATGGCATGTCAGTTTCCAAGTCAAGAAGAAACGGTTCTTCAAGAATTTCACAACTATACTGCTGTTTGGAGTCCCTGGAACATTTATTTCATTCCTTCTCATATCTGCTTGTAAGATCTGCATTGTCTGGTAACCCTTATGAGTTTCAAAACGTTTTAATATCATTGTGAACCTTATGTTGAATGCCGATGATAAACAGTTTCTTTTCATTGTCAATTACTCAATTCACATGGAATGAACAGAATAAAGACTCAATATGGTTCTTTCTGCAACTTGTCTAGGTGCCTTTCTGCTCATTAGATGGATTGGCATTACTAACCTGGGCATAAAAGATTACCTAGGTGAGAAACAGTTTTTGTTTAAAGAAGTCTCTCTCTCTTCCCTTCTCTTAAACTAATCATCATTTGTCCTTCTATTCTGATTGTTCCTGCACCGTGCATGTGAAGCCATTGGTGCCATATTGTCAGCAACTGATTCAGTTTGTACATTGCAGGTATATTCTAATCTAAGCTCAAACACAAATTTGTATTTCAAAATATAAAAATTTAATGCCTTCTTTATTCTTTTGCGGTGAAGGTTCTCAGTCAAGATGAAACACCCTTGCTTTACAGTATTGTATTTGGGGAGGGAGTAGTAAATGATGCTACGTCTATTGTGCTTTTCAATTCGGTCCAATCACTTGACTTCAGCAGCATCAATGCTATTACAGCCTTGAAATTGTTGGGGACCTTCCTTTACCTCTTCTGCACTAGTACCGCCCTTGGCATAGCAGTAAGTTTAGCTTGTTTTGCATGTACTGCTTAAAAAAACTTTTCAGACCAGACTTCAGGAAGAAAAACTGAGCCATAGTGAGAAATCCTATGTTTTGGATGCAAGGCAGCGTCATCATAAAGTGCTTCCTATGGTTATATCTTCTCCTTCTGTAGTCACCTATCTTATGTGCTAAATTACAATCTGAACATAAACTTTTCTTCATGAAAGCATTGCACGAATCGATCATCAGAATTATAATCCAATTACTACTTCTATGATTTGCTTTCAAACCAAATTTCCAATCATTGTTTGTTGGGAGTGTAGGTGCAGTTCTATTCTGACTTGCTACATGATGATTTTTTCAGGTTGGCCTTTTAAGTGCTTACATTATTAAAACACTTTACTTTGGAAGGTATGAGTTTCCTTTGCTTGTATAAGTTAATATCAATATACTTGACTGCTTAACCAATCCAAATATGACTTGCATGCCTACTGGACATTGTGCAACCTGACATAGTTCCTTTCATTTGCAGGCACTCTACCGATCGTGAAGTTGCACTTATGATGTTGATGGCATATTTGTCATATATGGTTGCTGAGGTACAAGACTACCATCTACGAAAATGCATTTTATTTTTTTTAATTTTTTAGTTTCATTTTCTCTGAAGAGCAAGTTTATGCTGGACAAAAATGCTTAATAGAGCAATTGGTTACTTCCAAGTTCCAACCCTCCTGCTCTTCACGGCATTCCATAGGGAGTGGCTGAAAAGAATTGAATTAGGACAAGTAAGGCAAAAAGCAATGGAACAAATTGATTTCAAAACAGAGTTCTATGGTATAAAAGGGTTATAAATTCCCTCCACAATGCAAAAAAAATCGTTAGTAGCAAAGATCATAATAAATGCAATTATACACTTTGCAATTTCAAGCTATACATATGTGCGGCTTTTGCAGCTTTTAAATCTCAGTGGGATTTTGACTATTTTCTTCTGCGGCATTGTTATGTCACACTACACATGGCACAACGTTACAGGAAGCTCAAGGACAACAACCAAGTAAGGACATGATCTTTAATTCTCTTTTATCTGGGAAAGATTAGTATATATTAATGTTAATCAGTTAATATGGGAATGCAATGACAAATACAGACATAGTTACGAAACTTAGTGAAATTGAAGTTGACATAAGTTACTATAGAAATAGGAAAAATAAAATAAAATTGATTAAACATGTAAAACTACTTAGAATCTTAATTTGCACTATACTTCTGCGATTTCAGGCACTCCTTTGCAACTATCTCATTCATTGCTGAAACCTTTATATTTCTATATGTTGGCATGGATGCTTTAGACATTGACAAATGGAAAATGAGCAAAGCCAGGTAATTAAAAACTTCTCTATCTCACACCGTAGAGCACGAGTTAATTAGCAGACTGATACATTGTTTTAGATAGGATCTGCATCACCATTGATACTATATTGTGAGTTTGAGTTCATAAAGTTCCAGCTGTTGAGGAAAGCACAAACCAATGGTTTAATATTCTATTTTTAATGTTAATCATTTTCTTAACACATTACCTTGTTCTTTCGGAGCAGCGTAGGAACTTCAGTTGCTGTAAGTTCAACGTTGTTTGCGTTAGTGTTGATTGGAAGAGCAGCTTTTGTGTTCCCTATTGCAAACCTTACCAATTGCATGCAGACAAGAGAGAGCACCAAACTTGAGCTTCGATCGCAGGTGATAATTGTGGGCTTGTAATTCCTCAAGCGTTGACATTTCAGTTGACCTCACTGAATTTCTGCTTAACTGTTAAAAATGTCAGTTTATAATATGGTGGGCAGGCCTAATGAGAGGTGCAGTGACTATTGCCTTGTCTTATAACCAGGCAAGTACATGCTACAATACAAGTTTATTCTTTTTCTGAAAATTGTGTTCTAACTTCTAAGGAAGACTTTTTATCTGTGTTGCTTTCAAATGCAGTTTGCACGATCCGAGGTAACATCAGAGCGAGATTCAGCATTAATGATCACCTCTACTATAGTAGTTGTCTTATTCAGTACTGTGGTGAGTTTCATGGTGTACAATATGAATTGCATCACGATCAAATAAATACTAATATGGTAGCTTTCATTGCAAGCAGGTTTTTGGTTCTATAACAAAACCTCTGATCGAGGCTGTTCAGCTACGGCATTCAAAACCACCTATTTCTGATTCCACTGATAATCTAGAAGATTTGAGATCACTATTCCTTGAAAACAGTGGTCCTATTAACCAAGGCAACAACAATGAACCATGTCACAGGCGGAGTAGCCTACGTTTACTTATATCTCATCCAGCTACAACCGTTCACTACTTTTGGAGGAAATTTGATGACAAGTTTATGAGACCAGTATTTGGTGGAAGGGGTTTTGTTCCACCGGTTCCTGGTTCACCATCACCATCTGGTGAACCAGAGGATACTTCTTGAAACACAAACAAGCATAATGCACTAACAGTGTTCTTTTCTTACTGCAGCATATATTAAAACATTTTCTCTCTACAGTGCCCTAAGTTAAATGGCAGAATTAGATTTGTAGTTTATCATGGCATGGATTTTTGAAGGGATAATTTTTCATTTGAAATAGTTATAGTGGTGTTTGTAAACAATGGATTTATATTCTCTGTTATTTGGAGAGAGATATATGACTGACAATATCTGAGTGTGAAGTCATTACAATACAAAGCATGTAAGTCATTCTAGTCACATTATGATTTAAGAATAATTGGAAAATGCATTTGATTCTTTCTCAAAGTTGTTACTTGTAAAGAAATTATGGTCAAGTTTTTTACACTGGACAGTGCTCTTCCATCTCAATCCAACTTCTCTCTCTGAATAAATAACTTTTTATCTTATAATACGAGGAAATATTATACTCTTAGGGGAGGGAGAGGGGGAACAGTTAGTTCTTGTGTGGTTCCCCATCATGGCTCACGATGTAACCACATTATCCAATCCTGTTACACCAAAAAAAAATTTACAAGATTCATCAACTATGGAAAACCCCTCTTATCTTGGAGATGTTCTTATGTTTGTAAACTGATTTACCACTATTGACTATTGACCAATGTCTATAAGGACGTTGTCACAGTCGTTTATCCCTTTGTAGCATATTGTTTTTGAGGAAGGGCTCTCCAACCAATATCACGACGATAGAAGCCTCCTGGCCAGTTAATATTGTCAACAGCTTGATAAGCTCGATCACGTGCCTCTTCAAGATCATTGCCCTTGGCAGTAACCCCAAGAACACGCCCCCCAGTTGCAATAAATCTTCCTTCAGAGTCAAAAGCAGTTCCAGCGTGGAATATCTTGATACCTGGAGCAACAACCTCAGCTTCTTCAAGGTTTTCAATCAAAGTTCCCTTCTCGTATGATCCAGGATATCCCTTACTGGCCATTACCACAACCATGGCAGACCCTGGAGACCAGTTCAGTGATATCCCATTCAACTCACCTCTGCAAGCTGCCAGCAAAACTTGTACTAAATCAGACTCCAACCGAACCATCAAGACCTGTTTACATTCCAAAAGGAACAATGATGCAGATCAGTTAACAACATGGCTTCAATATTAGTAACATAAAACATAGTGTTAATGTGATTATCTGTTATCACAGGTTGCGACTTTTGCGTTTTGTAAGTAAAATGAGATCGATTGTGTGTTACCCAGATTAGATCTAAGATATCAGTGAACTAGAAAGATGATAAAAAGAAAGATTTGAAACAGTTGGACGCCAATTTCTATCTGCAGAAATATCAATAAACATTAACTTGTGATTTGAAACCAAATGAGAATGACCCCGAACAAACAAAAAAGGACAACCACAGCAAGATAAGAACTACAGAAATACTCGTATCTAAATATATATTTGAAATGAACAAAACGACAAAAGAATTATTATGAAAAATCGCAAATCTTTTAAATTAAAAGCTGCATGTAACACACCATCACATGAGCTCATTAACAATGGACATATCTAAACCATCAACTGTGCTCTGTGCATAAATGAGAATTATGAGATTCCTAAAGCAACTTTTGTCACTAATACCTTCTGATTCTAGCCTGTTATAGTGTATTTCAGGGTTAACCGGTTAAGTACTTATATTAGAAAGTGGATTCATTCCAAACAAGCATCTTATGACTTAACTGACCTGGCACTCTGGATCACCAAATCGCACATTATACTCAATTAACTTAGGCATGCCAGACTTCTTCTCAATCATGAGCCCAGCATACAAAACCCCAACAAACTTGCAACCTTCTGCTGACATTCCTTTTACTGTTGGGATGATAATAGAATCCATAACTATAGACTGAAGTTCCTTAGTTAATATAGGAGCAGGAGAGTAAGCACCCATGCCGCCAGTATTTGGCCCCGTGTCACCATCACCAACTCGTTTATGGTCCTGAGCAGATTCTAGTGGAATTGCATTTTCTCCATCAACCAATGCAAAAAATGACACTTCTTCTCCCTCTAGAAATTCCTCAACAATGACACGACAACCTGCTGAACCGAAATCACCCTTCACCAGCATTGAATCAACAGCTTCATATGCCTCTTCCAGTGTCATGGCAACAGTAACTCCTTTTCCAGCAGCCAATCCATCTGCTTTGATAACAATCGGTGCTCCTTGTTCTTGAATATATTGCTTTGCAGCAGATGGGTCTGTAAACGTTTTGTACTGCACTAATAAAATCCAGGACTAGTAAATACTAAGAAAGAAATTTCTGGAAGAAAAAATGACATAAACGAGGTCAAAAGAAGATACATATATATATATATATATATATATATATATATATATATATATATATATATATCAAGGAGGACAGGGAAGAACACCATATAAATGGAATTAAGATAGAAATATATGAGCACAAAGGCATAAACATGATGACTCCAGTAATTATATACATAATTTCTTAAATATATTCCAACTTGATTAATAACAATCAAGAGACAAATAGACAACTCTCATATTGACTATCAAGGAAACCCTGCCAGCTTAACAAAAATTACATATCCAGAAACCAATGCAATACAGTTTTAACTAATCCTCTTACTACTTTGTATGTTACAAAGTTCAGGGAGAAAGAACATGTGAACTACTTATAACAATACATGAAGGAAAGATGCACGAATATCACTCCAATAGAATAAGGATTAATCATTGATCTGGTTGGTGAGATTCAGAACAAAAAGACAGACCTTGGCAGTTGGAATATCATACTTGTCACATAAATGCTTCATGAAATTCTTAGAACCTTCCAAAGCAGCAGCCTCTGCGGATGGGCCAAAAGTTGGGATTCCTGCCTTAATTAAATAATTTGCAAGACCTGAAACAAGTGGAGCCTCGGGTCCAACAACAACTAGTCCCACCCCCCATTTACGACAAAATGAGACTACTGCTGCTCCATCATAAACATCAAGGTCTGAAATACAAGTAGCATTTCCTGAGCTGGAAATTCCTGCATTGCCTGGGGCACAAAATACAGCATCACAGGATGGTGATCGTTGCAAGGCATAGCAAAGTGCGTGTTCACGTCCCCCTCCACCAATAACCAGAACAACTACCCTTTCTTCTCAGGCATAAGAAACAAAAATGTAAATGAAATAAAGTGAGTAAATAATTCATATATAAGACATTTAATCTTCTTGACTCTGAAATCATAACAACAACAGAAGACAATGAAACTATCAGCAAGATGCATGCACCTTTACCCATTAAATATGTTGTGCCAATCCAGAAAACAATGAAAGAGAATGACAAAAGACATGCAACAGAAACCTTTTAACTCAACGACCCATTCAGTAGAAACAAAAGTTCCTATTGTCAGCAGCTTATCAATTACTCAAAATTCAAAACTTTGTTCCATTCATATACTAAGTGTTTGCTCTAGTTCATTGGGAATAAAGATTGGGTAAAAATAAACCACAATGACCTACACTCAATTAGCATTTACTCCATATTACTGTATATCCTTAATGATTTTCAGAAACACAGTGAAAACAAATAATGATTTCAGATGATAAAGTCTCTTAAAAAATGCAAACCATAAAAAAAGAAAAGGTTGTGGCTGGTTGATGAAAGTATATAATACAACAAAGACAAAGGGAATTAAGAGATTGAGTAAATGCAGCACTTACGAGAATCGTTCTTTGTCTCAAAGCCAACAGAAGCTGATGGATTTGAATTCTGAACAGCACATTTGAAAACACTCTGGAATGAGCGCGAGCGCGTATCCCAACCAAAACTAGGATCAGTAAAGCTCAAATTGAAGGTCTCAAAAGAGAGAGAAGAAAACTTGGGTAAAATACAATTAGAGTGGTGTCTGAAGCCAAATGTATTAGAAACTCCATGCTTAGTGCATCCATGAAGATTCAAAGAAGCTCCAACATTGAAGGTGGCGCAAGACATTCCTACTACCCACTTGGGTTTTAACCACAAAACCTAGTCGGTTAATTTATCAAACAGCTTGTGTGTTATTTAGAACACTAAAAGTTGAAGTCTTTGCCTAGTGGGTGTGCCGTTCAGATTCACATGAGTTTTAGAGTGAAGTGGCGTGAAACACCCAAAAGAAGAGAGTCACAAACTCGTGCAGCCTCCACCGTCTAAACTGCTGCCTCCTCGTATGCTTCAGAAACGAGTCAAAGACAGGATTACCCAATGAACAAAGTGATGCCTCTTATGCTTCGCAAAAGCCTTTGTCGTTTTAAAAATAAGAAAAAGTAAATGTCCAAATTGGTCCCTCACAAAAAAATTTGGTGCTCAAATTAGTCCCTCGTACAAATAAATTCGTTGGATACTCCCCACGTTAGTCCTCCTGTTAGTCCAAAACTCACGGTGTCACTGACGGTGCTGATGTGTCACGTTAAGTGACATGTTGAACGCCACGTTGGATTAGAAACTACGTCGTTTGGAGAGAGCACATCCACGTTGGTCAGAATAAGTTCACTTTCATCCAAGGAACGTCGTCGTCTCAACATTTAGGGTTCTTCCTAAACCAGAAAGCAGAGGATTAAATCGAAGATTGAACCTACGATTGGGGAAAATTGATTTACTGTATAGTGATTGTGGGTTTATACTGATAACTTTAGGGTTCTTCTTAGTTTTTATGTGATGAATAATTCTTCTGGAAAGGGGAGTTCAAGTAGTTCATTTGGGTCCAGAAGTGAAAGAAGGAGAGCTGCTCTATTGTGTAAATGTGGGAGGAACAATGTTGTTTACACCTCCAAGACCATTAGAAACCCTAATAGATCATTTTTTGGGTGCCCCAATTTCAAGGTGAGGTTTATTTTTTCACGTGTTCTTTTTTCTAATTTCAACATTATTAACTGTTTAGTTTAATTTGGTTTAGGAAAAGAAGCCACACTGTAACTTTTTTACATGGGTGGATGATGCTACATCTGATACCATGGAGCTGGAAGATTGGAGAATTAACAAGCTCAAACTGAATGTAGCTGAAATGGAATTCAATTTGAATTTTTTGGACATAAAACTCAATGATGAAATGCAGCTGGAGGTGAACGAGCACAAAAAGAAGATTAATGACCACTATATAAAGATTGAATACCTATCAATGAAGATGCAAGCAGAGATTGAAAGGGTTGAGAAGGAAATTATGCATGTGTGTAGGTGTGCTAGGGTGTTTGTTGGATCCATTGTTGTTGTGTTTGTAATATGTATTTATCTTGCTGGTTGGCTGGAGTGAAATAAAAAATGTGGTTTTGCCGAGAATTGCCTAAACCCTTAACCATTACATGTTGTATTTTTTTGGACTATAAATATTTGTAATGGAAGGATCAATGTTGTGATGTTATGAGATGTTGTTCTTGCAATGTAAATAATATGGTTTATGTTGTTGAAGTTTAGTTTTTTGGCACAATGTATAGTATAAAGTTGAATGACATGAGATGCAACAAAGTTTAATGATACTGTGATGGAGGGAATTATGCAGAAGGGGGTAGACCAGTTGGTCTGCTAACACGTTTTGTGGCATTGGTGTTAGCCCATGGTTAATAGGGACTAAAATGGACCCCGATAAATTTGTTAAGGACTAATATGGTTTAATGATGAAGTAATGAAGGACTAAAATGGTCCTCGATAAAAAATGTTGAGAACTAATAAGGGATATTAACTACTGGTGGAGCTTGTTCAGTTATGCTAAACATGAACCCAAATGTGACACAACAAACAAATTTATGGCATCCTGTATTGACAGAAAAAAGAAAGTGGTCCTACTGCAAGTACTAATCCAAGGATGGTTTGTTTCCCAATTCAAAAATTCAACATCCAAAACAGAGCAATGACAGCAAACAGATAGTTACAAACACAATTCCCATTCATTTCATCACCAGATAGTTACAATTTCAAAAAAACCAACTGACATAATATACCATTAAGACCAACACAATAGTCTTCCAAAAAAACAAAGTTTCCTACTTAATATGGCCATAACCAGAGGCATACAAAAAAAAGCCATCTGACACTTTTGAACAGGGCCAAAACCAAAGTAATTCCAAATAACTGGCCTAATTACAATTCCAAAGAATTCCTATATCAGAGCCATACAAAAAAAGGCCTAATGACAGTGATTACAGAGTATTCCAATCATTTATGTGGGGCTGGCCTAGGTGGGGGGTGACTTGCAATTTGCAAGTGGATCCAGCTCCTCAACAGTTCGCAAGATATTCTCTTACTCTTCCATATTGTTCCTTCTCACAACCTTCAACGGTTCCCTTTGCTTTTTTCAAAGCCTTGCTTACTTTCTTCATATTCAAATGAACATTGTATTCCTTCTTCATGTGCTCAAATGCCTCTGACCTGGACATCTTGGGCTGTGTTAGTATCCTCTTCTCCAATTTCTTGGCCACCCAATCTCGAGTAACACTTTTATTCAGATGTAGCATCATCCACCCATGTAAAAAAGTTACAGTGTGGCTTCTTTTCCTAAATCAAATTAAACTAAACAATTAATAATGTTGAAATTAGAAAAAAGAACGCATGAAAAAATAAACCTCACCTAGAAACTGGGGCACCCAAAAAATGATCTATTAGGGTTTCTAATGGTCTTGGAGGTGTAAATAGCACTCTGCCTCCCACATTTACACAATGGAGCAGCTCTCCTTCTTTCACTTCTGGACCCAAATGAACTACTTGAGCTTCCCCTTCCAGAAGAATTATTCATCGCATAAAAACTAAAAAGAACCCTAAAGTTATCAGTATAAACCCACAATCACTATACCGTAAATCAATTTTCCCCAAATTCATAGGTTCAATCTTCGATTTAATCCCTTGCTTTCTGGTTTAGGAAGAACCATAAATGTTGAGACGACGACGTTCCTTGGATGAAAGTGAACTTATTCTGACCAACGTGAATGTGCTCTCTCCAAACGACGTAGTTTCCGATCCAACGTGGCGTTCAGCATGTCACTTAACGTGACACATCAGCACCGTTAGTGACACCGTGAGTTTTGGACTAACAGAAGGACTGACGTGGGTCTTGTTTCTCTTTGTTGGGGACTATCCAACGAATTTATTTTTGTGAGGGACTAATTTGGGCACCGAGTTTTTTGTCAGGGACCAATTTGAGAATTTACTCTAAGAAAAATATTTCTATTGCAGATAAGTTATATGCATTTACTTCCAAAACGATGAAAGATTAAAAAATTATAATTATAAAGACTATAATAACTCTGAAATAAATTAAAATTATAAAAACACCATGATTTCCGCCTCAAAACGACATCATATTGAGTTTATTGCAGATAACTTATCTGCAGTAGCCGCAGAAAAAGAGAACCCTTTAAAAATGTAATTTTTGGGGAAAAATTTAAGAGAGAATATATTTATAACACTTTTTTCACTTATGAAATTTTATAATCAAATTTTAACCGTTAATTTTTTGTCAATTTAACGGTTATAATTTATTATAAATTAATAATTAATTAATAAGTGTGACTGATAAGTGTCAAAAGACACTATGTTTTTAATTTTAAGATTACTTTAAATAATGATTAATATGATTATTAATATAGTGTTAATTAATAAATCTAAAAGATATTAAAATACCAACAACTAGATAAGATTCTAATCACTTTTCATATTGTTTCAGGTTCAATATAACAAATCTCTAATCTGATGGAAAAGGACAGTTGGGATCAGTTGCAAAGGATAAGGATCAAGAAAAATAAAGAATTAATCAAAATTAATTCTCAGTAAGCCTAATCCAAATTAAAAAGCCCATTTTTATTTCTATAAAAATGCACTTAGGGTCTATTCCATTCATTCGGAATTCGAAGGAGGAGGCAAATGAGCGATTCAGAAAGCTGCAGAAGGCAGAGACAGAGAGGATAGTCTCAGAAGATGATGTTAGGGCGAGACGGAATCAATGGGTTCTTGAACGCTGTTTATCCTTTCTTGCAATTTATATTCATGATCTAAGTTATGCAATTAATATATTTTAAATTCCTAGTCTCGTTTATAATCTGGTCAATCTTAAATAGGCATTAGAATTTTGCATGACAATAGAGATGTTGGTGTATTGATTCCGATTGATTAATTGCTAGAGTTTGTATGATCTAGGAATGTGCTTACAAATTAACTTTATAGTTCTTGCGTTAATGTTTGTTTTAGGAAAAGGTACTAAGGGATTAGGCTTTTGAATAAAGTAAAGGATCAAATTACTAAGGGGTTGAGATTTAATCAATTTTAGAAAGAATCGTTAATAGCTTAATCTTGAATTTTGATTGTAAGAAGGGGTAGATTTGTTAGGAAAACATTGGAAAAGTCGAGTTCCTAACTACATATTTTATTAAAAGTTAAAAACCAATTTTCTAGCGTTATTAATTTTTTTCCTTAAATATTGAAAATTAAAATAAATTGTTTAAAAATATGTTTTTATAATTAAAATAGTTCTCTCAACAAAATCATTTTAGGATAGATCTAACTTTAATCGCGTAGATAAATTAGTGATTGATAATCAGTCCTCGTGGGATCGACAACCTTACTTTGTCACTTTATTACTTGTACGACCGGTGCACTTGCCAAAGTCGCAATAAGTTTTTGGCACCGTTGCTAGAGACTAATTTAATCAAGGGTGCCAAAAACTTGTTGCGACTTTGGCAAGTGCACCGGTCATACAAGTAATAAAGTGACAAAGTAAGGTTGTCGATCCCACAAGGACTGATTATCAATCAATAATTTATCTACGCGATTAAAGTTGGATCTATCATAAAATGATTTTGTTGAGAAAATTAATTTAATTATAAAAAAAATAAACAATTTATCTTTAATTTTCAATATTTAAGAAAAAGAATTAAGAACGCGAGAAAATTGGTTTTTAACTTTTAATAAAAGACGTAGTTAGGAACTCTACTTCCCCAATGTTTTCCTAACAAATCTATTCTTACAATCAAGATTCAAGATTAAGTTATTAACGATTATTTCTAAAATTGATTACATCTCAATTCCTTGGTAATTTGATCATTTACTTTATTCAAAAGCCAAATCCCTTAGTACCTATTCTTAAAGAAATCATCAACCCTATAACTATAAAGTTATAGAATTTGTAAGTCTATCCCTAGATCATACAAACTCTAGCAATTAATCACTCGAAATCAATACACCAACGTCCCTATTGTCATGCAAGATTCTAATGCCCATTCAAGATTGGCCAGATCGTAAAAGAGATTAGGAATTTAAAATAGATTAATTGCATAACTTAAATCATGAATGTAAATTGCAAGAAAGGATAATTGGTTTCTGTAACGACCCTCACCGTTAATTTAAGAAATTAATTAAATAAATATGAGAATTGGAAAATAAATCCATAATTGACCCTAATAATTATGAGAAGGCTTAAATAATTATAGTAAGTGATTCAGAATGCTGAAAGTCACTTTTCTCACGAAAAGTGCAGATACCGGTTCTGCTCCTCGGTACCAATGCGTACCGATGAAGTATTTCGGAAAATTATGAAAAGTATGTATATGTCACTAGAAAAATATATAGGACTGGCATAATAATTTTCAAGTCAAAATAATGAGAACTGGTGCCAGAACTGATACTGGCTATGTAAAAGCGCGTACCGAAAAGGTGCTGCGAAAAATAAAATAAAAATATGAAAAACCTTAGAAAAATGAGTAGGTTCAGAATCCTAAGTTTGGGATTAAATTGCTAAGCGTAGCAATTAGCGCTAATACTGTGCGACTAAAATTTAAGTGGCCTATATAAGGCCTTCGCACATGATCCTAGGCCATTGTTTAGTGCCTTCTATGTGGGAGACCTTCAGCTGAGAAGCCTCCACCACTTCATTGTCTTCTCTTCTCCATTTTGTGACCAAGGAGCCACCTTTCTCCATGGAACCTTCTCCAAAACACCATTGTTGAGTAAGAGTTGGTCTAGTGAGGGGGAGTGGGAGCCTTTTCTGGTTGTTCAACCACTGTGTGTAGGGGTTGTGGGGCTCACTTCATTGTTTGAGTTGTTTGAGAGCTTGTGTCTTGTTGGTGTTGGTCCAAGAAGCCATTTTTGGTGAGGAGGAACCTTGGTGGTGTGCCATTTTCGTACACTTGCAAGTCAAAACCTTTGGGGCTGAAGGGAGAGCTCAAAGAGCACCTTCTTGCTCTGTTTTAAGCTTGGGTAAGTGTCATCAACCTTGAGCATGAGTTTTCTTAGTTAAAAATGAAGCCTTGATGCATGTAACTAGCTAAA